AGAGAGAGAGAGAGTGCATGAGCTTTTATGAACCCAAATTCATAAAAGAAGACCCAGAGAAGGGCCACTCGTATGGTTAAGGGCTTGCAGGCCAAGCCCTACAAGGAGAGACTAGAGCACCTGGACCTCTTCAGCCTCCGCAAGAGAAGGTTGAGAGGCGACCTTGTGGCTACCTATAAATTCATTATGAGGGCGCAGAAGGGAATTGGTGAGGCTCTACTCACCAAGGCGCCCCCAGGGGTAACAAGAAATAATGGCCATAAGCTAGCAGAGAGCAGATTTAGACTGGACATTAGGAAGAACTTCTTCACAGTTAGAGTGGCCAAAGTCTGGAATGGGCTCCCAAGGGAGGTGGTGCTCTCCCCTACCCTGGGGGGTCTTCAAGAGGAGGTTGGATATGCATCTAGCTGGGGTCATATGAACCCAGCCCTCTTTCCTGCCTATGCGGTGGGTCGGACTCGATGATCTATTGAGGTCCCTTTTGGCCGTAACATCTATGAATCTATGAAAGTTCACTTCTTCAGACTAAAACAACTAACTCTCTTGGATCACTTAAAGAATGTCATCTTGAGATGCTGCCTCTATCCACTAGGGGGCAATGCTTTCAGAATTCTAGTTTAATATTATAAAAGCCTTAGGCCTGGGGCGGGCACTTATTTTGGGTGGAGGGCCGCTTACTGACTTTTGGCAAGCCATCAAGGGCCGCATGATAGACAGCCAGGGGCAGGTAAATATTAATTTTCTAATTTTTTTTTAGGGCCCCCCCCCCGAGGACCGGATAGAATGGCCTGGTGGGCCACATACGGCCCCAGGGCTGCATTTTGCCCACTCCTGCCTTAGGCTGTCTGTCCGTAATGCTTTATTCTCACTGATTGGTTGCCTCAGCAGCTAATCAGACTGCTCTGGACAGACACTACCACCTTGGAGGCAGAGGGAGATGTTGGGGACTGGAGCACCACCATGACGGAGGGGACAGAGCAGGGGGGCAAGGCGAGCAGCACCAGTCTTGCACCGCCCCCCCAGCTTTGCTCCTTGCAGGTGGTGACGGAGCAGGGGGCAGAGGCCAGCAGCGTTGGCCTCGCCCCCCACACTTTGGCGCACAGGGCTGGACACAGGGGGTGAGAGAGGGTGCATGGAGGTGGATCCAGCTTCGGATCCAGCCTTGCCACTGCATCAGGGGGCGGGGAACAGGGCTGGAGGAGAAGCAGGCCAGGGCCAGATGAAGGGCTCCATACCCACCTGCCTCCGTCATGACAGTGGGGACTGAGGGCCCAGAGGGGGTGGGCGAGCCCCCCTGTTCTGGCACATGGAGCCAGACGTGGTGGGTGGGGGAGGGCACATGGGGCTGGAGGCGGATCCAGCCTTGCCGCTGCACCATGGAAGAGAACGGGCCCAGACGAGGAGAGGGCCAAGGCAGGATGCTGGGCTCCATCTCCGCCTGCCCCCCCGCCACCATGACAGCGGGGGCTGAGGGCCGGGAGCGGGTGGGTGAGGCCCCACAGCAGGTGGGGGAGGGTACCCGGGACTGGAGGCAGATCCAGCCTCACCACAGCATCCAACAAATGCAAAAGGAAAAAAAAAACAAACCACAAGGACAAAAAAACCACAACAGTGGCCCCGGCCCTGCTCCTTGGAGGCAGGGGGGTGGCAGCATGGGGCATTAGCTGCTGGTGCTCCGTCCCCGCCCACCCATCCCCACCATTCTTGATGGGCGATTGTCTAGCAGTATTGTAAAGTTTAATTCAAGAGCGTGCAAGCAGGCGTATGATAGTCACAGTTTTGGCTTGTACAACTATGTGACAGGGCACTTGGTGTGCCTGTCACTCTGAGGAGAGGCTGCTTGAGGAGCAGCCCACAGGTGAGCAAGGGCCAATTAAGGAGACACCTGACCAGAGGGGACTGGGCTGAGCCAAACAAGCCCAGGGCCTGAGCAGATCAGGCAGCCTGCCCCTGGGAGCCACAGGGAGAGGAGCTCCTGGCAGCAGGGCTCCTGCCTTAATATCTGAGCTGGGGTAAGCAGCACTGAGCCCAGGAACAGGGATGGGTGAGCTCATCACCTGGAGGGGGTCAGGCACCCAGCACTCAAGAGCTAGCCAGGACTTGGGACAAATTGGCCTGGGAACAGAGTGCCAGGGGCCCAGCGCCTGAGAGGGGCAAAGCAGGCCTTGGAATAGATAGGCCTGGGGACAGAGGCAATGGTCCGAGAGGGCCGGTGATGAGTGGGGACAGAGCCCTGCGTACGCCCCTGGTCTGCTTCTCTTCTGGCCCCATTCCCCCGTGCAATGCAGTAGCGAGGCTGGACCCAAAGCTGGATCTGTCTCTGTGCGCTGGGAAATTACCCTTTCAGCAGCACAGAAGCGGAAATGGATCTCAGAGTCACAGTGGACTCCAAGATGTACATGAGTCATCAGTGTGATGAAATCATCAGCAAAGCTAACTGCACTTTATCATGTATCAGCAGATGCATGACTAATAGATCCAAGGAGGCATTACTTCCTATCTATGTGGCATTGGTCAGACTGCAGCTGGAGTACTGCGTCCAGTTTTGGGTGCCGTACTTTAAGAAGGACGTGGATAACCTCAAGAGGGTCCAGAGGACGGCCACTCATATGGTTAAGGGTTTGCAGGCCTAGCCCTATGAGAAGAGTCCAAGGGACCTGGATCTCTTCAGCCTCCACAAGAAAAGGCTGAGAGGTGATCTTGTGGCTGCCTACAAATTCATTAGGGGACGCAGCAAGGAATCGGAGATGCTCTGTTCCCCAGGGCACCTCTTGAGGTAACAAGGAACAATGGTCACAAACTGACAGAGAACAGATTTAGGCTAGATATCAGGAAAAATTTCTTCATGGTAAGGGTGGACAAAATCTGGAATGGGCTTCCAGGGGAGGTGGTGCTCTCCCCTACCTTGGGGGTCTTTAAGAGAAGGCTGGGTAGGCATCTGGCTGGGCTCATCTGACCCCAGCACTCTTTCCTGCCCAAGCAGTGGGTCAGACTCGATGATCTGTTGAGGTCCCTTCTGACCCTAACATCTATGAATCTATGAACAACTCATGGAGGTTGTGGAAAGGACTGAAGGGGAGGTGTGGAGGTCCCAGCTGGCCCAGCGAGACAGAGAGAGAGGGACCAAAAGAATAGAGGGCCTGGGGCAGAGGGAGAGTCTGATCCCACTGAGGGGTGCAGTGTGGGGCCAAAACAGGCCTTGGAAGAGGTAGGCATGAGGCCCACAGAGAGAGATAGCTTAAGCCCAGGAAGGACTAGGTACTTGGGAGGTCTGGTGCCCAGGAGGCACTGGGGTGCATTGAGGGAAGCTGCAGTGCCTGGGGCCTGCCCAGGGGTGGAGAGTGGTGTTAGCAGATCACCTGCAAAGCATGGGAGTGGGTACTGGGGAGGATGGAGCCCACAAAACTGGCCCTTAAGGCAATAACCACAAGCACTGGTGGTCCTAAGAGTAAGACCAGTTTTTGGAAGCCCTGGAAAGCCTCCCTTTCATCAGAAATTAATAACATGACGGCATGGCAGGTTAGTAAAAGGGAGAGGGTCCCAAGGGGAGCCAAGTTAACAAGGGCTGAGCGGCCACCAGGGTGCATCGGGACCACCCCTGGGAGGAGCACTTGCTACAAACTCCCATAACTAAAATTTGGTTCTGTTGATTGATTTTAATGTAAAACATAAGAGGATGGCACAGTTGTATAACTACAGGTGGGCGAGTGAGGGACAAGCACCATGCACTGCATAAAGTGGGTGCTAGAATGGAATTAAGGGTGTGCCTCACCCACTGCTCCCTATTCCCTGCCCCCTTCCCCTGCACCTTGCGCTTTTCATGTAGGAGTGCCAGCCCTGGTAGCAGGAAGAACAGAACAGCAGTGGTGGCACACAATGTTAGAGCCGCAGCCAGAGGCTTGCTGCTGTCGGGTGGAAGATGTCACCTCCTTTTTTTTTTTACCACCAAAAATTAATGTGTAAATGGCCACTTTACTCACATGTGCAGGAAAAGATGACTTTCTCCCCCTCAGCAGAGTGGGCACATTTACACATGCAATTAATGTGAAGCAGTAAACTCCAGAGTTTGTTGTTTGCATGTGCACCCAGGATCACAGCATGTTGAGGCGGCTCGGAGGAGCCCCAGGTGGCAGGAGGTACCTGGGGTCAGCCTGCCAGACTGGAGCTGCTCCCCCTGGCTCAACGTGCTGCAGAAGGGCTGGCTGGGGCATGAGGGCAATTTATGATGGGACTAGCCAGCAGGCAGCCCCCACACTGAAGCACACCCATGCCCCAGCCAGCCCGGGCAGTGTCTACACATGCACTGCTGCAGAATAAATTAGTTTACTCCTGTCTAACAGCAGCACACATGTAGACTCTGAGACATTTACTGAGCAGCTGATTAGTTTATTGTACAGTAAATGTCTCATGTAGATGTGCCCTGTGTGCTGCCAGCCACTCAGGGCACAGTATTGACCAGTTAAGCTGAGATGGCAGGGTCTAGAATCGTGTATAGAAATGCAGGGTTTTTCTGCTGACTCACTGTAAAAGTAAATAACAGCAGCCTTTTAGCTCTAAGCTAGAAGTATATAAAGGCTTGAATTAGGTGACCCTTGCAGAGGAAGAAATTCCTAGGAAGGCCAGCTTCAAAAGGAAGTAGAGGCGGAAACGTTGTAGCTTTGAACAATAAAAATTTACTTAAGGATGGCAGTAATTCCCCCTGGCCATAACAGCTTTAGAAAACAATCGCTAGTAATTACTGGCTTCCTTTCACATTTTCTGAAAAATGAACAAACAGCGTAACTCAAATTCTGTGTTTATAGAACACCTGGAATTTCATAGAAGTGAACAAAACAGATATTACTTAGACAAACTTAAATTTATAATGAAATAGTGTTTGCCACACTGTTGTCCCTTTATTACATAGTAGTTCCATTTGTTTACAGAGGGTGTTGGGGAAAAAAAACCTGCAAGATTTTATTTTTGAGTGCTTTATTAATCTATTCTGGAAATTCTCTTAGGAGGCAGAGGTTATGCAGCTCCATGGAACACATGCTTTTAAGGAGTTCCTTGAAAGAAAAGGCTACAGGAAGCCAGAGGTAAGTCATGGAAAAAGAAACCAGTCTGTCTTCGTAATCAATAGCACTGACCAGGGTTGCTTAAGTCCTGAGAACAAAACTATTTGCCCTGCAGCTAGGTTTTAAGTATTGTTACCTGTACATGACCAGAGTTGACAAGGATTTCGAGTCTCAGAACATTGTGAGAATCTTGTTATAAAACAGTGCCACGGAGGAGTCTATAGCCCATCTGCACCACAGGAGGTACCATGTTACTGAACAGTACTCTTAGACCTGAGTCCAAATTGAGACCTGATGTATTGTGAAAGGGCGTAAGTCCAGTCCTACCAAGCTTCATGGCTATCAGAGCTGAATTTGGCCTCAGGAGTACACTATAGCAGAGGCTAGACCAGTTTGTACTAAAACACCACAAGAACGCATGCTTCCTATGGACATCTGCACTGAATCATGGGACACATCAGTATGGTATAATGCAGCACTGTGTAGAGATTAGTTTTATGCTGTATTAGCTATAGATTAGCTCTGAATAAATTGGTTCAGGTACTAGAAGCAGTATAGCTACATTAGCCTTGCATTGCACTGAGCTACTACTGAGGATGTGGTGACTACTAGCACAGTTCTACTGTTGTATGGATGGGGCCAACGAAGGTTGTGTGCACAAACTCAGCATGTGCAGCAAACATGTCTTGCTTAATCATGGCAGCAGTAAAAGCCGTACCCTATTTGTTCAGAGGTGAGCAGGGAGGATTAGACCTTAGAACATACCACAACTCGTTCTAACACACTGCCACTCCCTCACCAGGGAATAAATACTGCAGTCTATTTTTGGTTCTGTTGTCCATTAACCAGGGATGAAACTGTCCTTTCTATTTAACTCTCTGACGGCAGCACTCCCTCCAACTTCTGTGTTTTATCTAAAACAGAATTACTCTTTAAGTGCAGCTGTCTGCTGGAGATGATCACTTTATTTTGCTTGGTGGATAGTTGTAACACCTGGCAGTGAATGGGCAAATATAGTATGTTTCCTCCTGGAATGTCTGCTGAGATTTTGGATGTCACTGAGTCATGGGACTTGTAATGACCGTGTTCTGCGCATTTGTACGCGGTAGGTTAGACATGGCCCAGAGGCCAAACAGTGTGACAGAAAGCCCCTGAAAGCCCCTAAATCAGTCATCTCCAAAGGAAAGTGGAGAGATGAGCGCAAAAAAATGAAGACAAAGAAGTGGCAGACAATGAAAGGAGGAAGAAGCCAGGCTAGAAAAGCTGCAGCAGGAGCTGGAAAGAAGGACAAAGAACAAGGGTTGTTCCTCCCCTACATTTGTAAATAAAAGCTTTCTTATCATCCATGCAAATAAACTGTATTCATACCATGCATGCTCCAGCTGCTTTTGCTTGCCCACTTTTGCCTCTGTAGCTCTTTCCTCTCCCACAAGATATGGTCACTGTTCTGATATAGCCTGCCTGTTCTGTGCTGGGCTTCTTCTTCTTACCGTCAGCCCACTCTTGCCATCACCTTCCCCATCTTAAATTGAGCTCCTTGGGCAGATAGGTGTTAAAGCTCTGCAGACTGTTACACTTCCCTGTTTTAGAAGGTACTTGAGGGAGAGGTAGAGCTCTCACAGTGTGTACCCTAGCTGCAGAAGTCTGGGGAAGCTTTTCCTAGTAGCAGGTTGTCTGTTGGTGTTAGTTTCAGTAAATTGTATTATAGTTTCTGAGCTCTGGCTCTCTGAATAGTTGATAAAGCTATCAAACAACATGCTAGCTTTTTTCCTGTCTTTTAGCCTGGGTTCTGCCCCGATTCCCTGTTCCAACTAAATTTCTCCAGACGATTCCCGCATATCTTGTCTATTCCCCTGACCAGAAGGCCTCTTCATGCCCTGACCCTGAGTCAGTTTTCCTTTGACCCCTTTCCACACCAGGGCAGATTCCCTTACCTGCTTCACACAAAATGCTAATTTTTTCAGCTGATAGCCCCATCACTTCCCATCCAGCCACAGAATCCCAGTATCTAGTCAGCGAGGCCTGT